AAAGGCGTATGTCTCCAATACTGGCTGTATCCCTGAACACACAGAAATCTACCTAGCTCTTCTAACCACCACGCTCTTACTATGGCTCTAATAGCTCTGACCCCAGGGCAACTTTATTTATTAACATAAAATTAAAATCGCATTTCAGTACAAATAAAATATCACCACAAAAGAAGTTTTGTTTAAAAAAAGAAAAAGAAAGAAGAGAATATAGATATGATGAAGATTCATTGACTCTAATCTGAGAAAAAAAGATAAAGATGTAGATGTAACCAACCATCTTATTAAATAAGAAACACAGAACCAATGTAAAAGAGAAAGCCAAGAGATCAGAGCTCAGAGCTAAAATCTCACCATTCCTCCTGCGGTGGTCCTAGCTTCCTGAAAGAGAGCTATGTCCTGTGTGTCTGTCTCTTCATAGTATTTTGTTCTGCCTTCTCATTGGTTGTAAACCCAAACACGTGACTGCCTCTTCACTGCCTGTATGTACAGCCCTCTAGGTCTTAAAAGCATACGTCTCCAATGCTGGCTTTATCCCTGAACACACAGAGATCTCTGGGATCTAAAGGCGTGTGCCACCACCACCATACTCTGTCTATGGTTCTAATAGCTCTGACCCTGGGCAACTTTATTTATTAACATACAATTAAAATCACATTTCAGTACAATCAGAATACCACCACATTTTCCCTTTACTATTTTAATAAAAAGAAAAAAAACAAAAGGTTATAACTAACATAAGAATACTATATACAAAAGTACAATAACTATATGCAATATATACAAGTAACAAATGCCTAAACAGGTATTTGACAAATCAGAGAAAATAATTCAATTATCTATCCTATTTTGGTAAATCCAAGATGTATCCAATGCACTTTCTATCCTAATTAATTTTCAACTATAACTAACTAATCTTCAACAATAACTAACTAATCTTCATCTCCCTCAGAGACCCAAGAAGGAAATAATATTAGCTAACAAAAATAAAAACAGGCAGAGCCTGCACGCAACTTCCAAAAAATTTGTAAGTTGACAGAAACAGCCAGCTGCCTGGACAGTCACCTGAGGTTTCCGCAGTGTTGGGGCATCATCTTCAGCCTATAGGCTTAGCGTATCTGACAGATTCATTTGTGAAGTAGGATGTACACAAGATCTACAGTTCAACCTCACATCGGGTGAGAGCAGTCCATGTACCAGAAACACCTGAATTCCACTAGTGTCCTGTCATGATTCAGGATTTTAAATTCTGGAAATTGTTGACAGTTTTTGAATTCAGCTGTCCATTCTTCTTGGCTATGTATATATGGCTTCATCTCAGCATCCCCTTCTTCTCCACATCCTTCTATTAAATTCCACTCTACTATTGAGAGGCATGAGCTTTCAGCTGCTGTTCCATTGCACAACAGAAGCTATCGGCCCTCTGCCTGTTAAGCTGCCTTCGAAGAAAAGGG